CTATCCTGCACCGACCAGCCCTCAGCTTTCCTGGGTGAGTTCAGGGACTGTGCTGGAGACTGGACCTAGCTCTCTTCTTACTCTTCATGATTTTGCAAAGCCCCAGATTGCCATGATTTTGCAAAGCCCCAGATTGCTTTTTTCACTCCCTTAACTCCCCCGCACCCCTTACGCATGCTTTCCCATTCAATTAAGCACCTTCAAGTGCAGCTGAAGTTTCAACTCTCCCTCTGGTTCCCTAAGCTCCAACTAAATTCTGCTTGGTTTGGGGCAATTTTGGTGGGGCTTGAATCTATGGGTCCCTGGAGCACAAATGCTTCCTGTAAGCATATGCCCATATTTTCCTGCCTGCTGAAAGAAAGATCAATTTCTGGGCTGCTCTGGGTCCAAAACACAGGAAATCTCGGGGTGGGAAGATAATAGGCATAATCCTTTCTCATGCTAAACTTGCCTATGGCCTGCTCAGCTCTTTGCCTTTTTAAAACCAGTGCATTATTTACAAGGCAGGTCCTCGCAATTTCGTAAGGCAGGGAGAGAGAGGGAAATGTTCATGGTGACCCCCGGTCCCTCCGCATTTTTGCCTGTAAGAGCATCTGGCTTTCCTTAGTAATCCTTTTCGCTGCTGCGACGGGCGGCTTTTCCACTAAAGGATGCCTCCCTGAAGACCAATTCCCAAGAAGCGCATCATCGGCAGAGCTAAAGTTTGCAGCGATATATTTATGGGACGGGCAACGATGATGGGGCTTGAGCAGGAAGCCATTTCAGCCCCTGGAGGGTACACAGGGATCCAGGACGGCTTTCAGCAGAAAAAACAATGATAATTTCATCCCTGCAAGGATCCAGAAAGCCTCAAGTTCATCTTGTCTTCAATTCCTTAGCACACCGATCAGTACTTTCTGTAAAATAAGTGGAATGCAGCAGGAGGGGCTTTGGCTTAGCTCAACTTTTTAAAATTGCTTTGCAACATTTTTCAGCTGCTCCTCAGTGCAAGGGGCTTAAAAGGATTAATATGATGAAGGTTCTTACAGTCCTAACAGGCCTGGCACAAAAGGAAAAGCGATTGGAAGGAAGGAGGAAAAACATTGTGTCTTAGTTGCAAAATTCTTACAGGTATTCTTTCTTGGAGGAGGGGGACAAACAGTTCACTCGGTGGCCAGCTATCTTCCACAAAGGAAAACTCATACCCTCCTGCCCATGTTCCACGGCAACTGGAAATTCCACAGTTTTTCTCTGCATTGTGCAAAGCAGCCCTTTCTTTTATGTATCACAAATTTCTGAGCCATCAGCTTTATGGAATGACACCATTAGGCCCTGATATTATGGGAGAGAAAGAAAATTGTCTCGCCTTCCATTTTGTTCACACTGTGCATTATTTTATACACCTCTATCATGTCTCTCCTAATTTGCCCTTTTTCCTCTGAGCTAAATAGTCACAGGGGAGTTTCTCCATCCCCTTAATGACTGGACCCTAAATGGAGTCATCATTTTATGCAATCTTTCCAATTTTACTCTCTCCTTTTTTCAGTGCAGAGACAAGAACTGTAGAAAGCATTTTAAGTGTGATTGAATCATAGAATTGTATAAGGACAGTAAGTTCCCGTTTCCCGTAGCCTGCATTGGCAGTTCATTCCCCACCCCACCCATGCAATGTAGGTTTTTAACCAGATTAAGCCAAATGCTTAGAAGCTCCTGACACATCTGCTTTCCTCTTTTGCAACTTGCTTTGCGAGCCCAAAATGTTTTGTGGGCACCGTGAGCTGCCCTCCCATTCTACAGACAGAAAAACTGAGGCACAGAGGCAGAGAGTGGGGAGGGGGGCAGAGACAGAGTGGAATTTTCTGCTGCAAAATGTGCTGAATGTGAGGAGTGTTGAAAATGCATAGCACATCTGACTGTGGAAGAGATGGCCATTTCCTCACAACCTAGAAGCCAGGATGGAAAAACAGGCATTCTGAAGTGCCTAAAATAGGGTGCTTTTAATTTTGCCGCATTGATGCAGCCAACTCATCTGGCCTCAACAGAAGGATTAAGCAATTTCATGAAGGGCTATCTAATCACTCCTTCTAATTGTGGACCTGGATAGGGCAAAAATGAGCCAGCTGAGAAACAAGAGGCAGCGTGACATGGGATTGCAGAAACCCACATACCAAACTGAAGGGAGCACCCCCCTCTCCACAAAAGCGGTCTGATAAGGATTGTATCTTTGCAGTAAACACAAAATATTGGGAAAGAGAAGTGGTAACCGAGCCTTGAGGGCAGCAGGCATATTCTGCAGGACAACGTGGCTTTCTGAATCCTGAAAATTCATTACTGGAGAGACAGAAGTTTGGACCAAACTGCTTATACCCAGCAAGGTGATTCTGTAATGCCAGGGATGGGCCACAAATCTCTACCCTTTGTTTTTCTTTTCCAAGAGCACCCGGTATGGGAACGGAGAGTCCACAGTGTCTGGCCATTCTAGAAGTGCTGTCTGGGCAGTTTTTAAAAATATTTCCTTCTGCCTCGCATCAGAAGCTGTAAATGATGGTCAAACTGGAGAGAGAGGGCTTTCATTGGTTGTATTTCTGCTTCCCGTCTCTGGACAGGCTAATAATGGGATGGAGCGAGGCAAGCGCTTGGAGCTCTTCCAGAAGTTTCCTGATGTGTTTCTCAAGAGTCAAGGCTTTCAGTCCTTCTGGGGAGCAGGACCGGCAAACTCCAGAGCCCCAAATGCAACTCTGGAGCTGAAATTTTCCAAGTACAGATGGAAAAACCTCCAGTCGCTCCAGGATTTCCCCAGCCAACATGCAATGCTTTTCTGTGTGCCTAGTTACCTTTGAGAGCCCTCTGACTTTCCATTTTCCACCTTCTTTCCCAGTTGAATGCCCAAAGACCCCTTTCCCCACCATGCTCAGACCCCACCCCCAGCTGTGGGCACTGCCCTTTAAGAAGCATCTCAACAAACTGGGCCTCCAGAGGAGGCTGACAAAGAAAATGAGCCCCTGAAAGCAGCGAAACCATGGGCTGCTTCAATACACAGGCACTCATTATGAAAATTCTCGACCACAGCAATGATGTGTACCAACACCACAGTGCTCTTCTTTCGGTCTTTAGTGTCTTCTAGACCAAACTGCCCCAGGATGCTTCGTGTTACAACGGTGCTGCACAAGCGAAGGCTCAGGGGCCAAATGCAGCTTATGGAAGGCCCCAGAACAGTCCTCCAGAGACCCCCAGTTGGTCATATTCTCTTCTCCCCATCCCACCCTCTTTCTCCCACCACCAGCCCTTTGGTGTTTGGCTTCTGAGTACTGCTTTCTCCTTTTTTTATATGTTTTATTCAAAATTACAACCCTAACTAAAAACAACATCAATCATCAAAAACATCGGGCCTGCTGGGTCAGCCCCCACATTTTTTTCCATTTATGGTGACTTAAAAACAGATTTAAATCTATACAAAGTCCCATTTCTCTAACCAATAATAAAAAGAGCCCCAAGTTTGATGGAAATCAGCATCTTCTTTCTCCTTCAATGACAAAGTCAATCTATCAATTTCTGCACTGTCCAAGATCTTTTTTAGAATCAGCTCGTCGGTGGGTGGCTCTTCACTTTTCCAGCATTGGGCAAATGCAATCCTCGCCACAGTGATTACATGTAAAATCAAGTACATTTCTTGTTTACTAATATCCTCCGGTATAATGCCTAATAAAAAAACTTCAGGTTTAAAAGCTAAGGATTTTTGTAACATTTCCTCAAGCCATTTATGTATTTTAATCCAATACTTTTTCACATTATCGCAAGTCCAGCACATATGATAGAAAGTCTGAGTACTGCTTTCTCAAAGATTAAGCTCTGTGGCTTTGCTTCAAGTACCAAGAGCATTCGGGTACAATGCAGAGAGTGCCACAAGTAATTCCCCGGGAAACATGACATGGTTGTCCAGGGAATGCCAGCAGTTGTAAGCCCCTTTCTCCATCTAGATATCCACAGTATTGCTACATTTTACTGGCATTTTGGCTCAGCCCAACACAGGAATGTGGTTGCTGCCAGCATCTCAGAAATTCAGTTTGGACCCCGGAAGAAGTTCCACTGGCCTGCATCACAGCTGGGAAACATAGCTGGTCGCGAGAAAAATGCGTTTCAGATGGTGGAGCAGGCTGGCTTGGAGGCAGTGGGCTGCCCCATTTGGAGGTTTGTTAAGGAATGACTTCACCATTTGTACCGCTCTGCTTCCTGCATTAGTGAGCAGGTGGGCTGGGTGAACATTGGGGTCCCTTCCTGCTCTGCAGCCGCGTCCCCATTTCCTCCACTGCATTTTCCCCCTCCAAGAAACCCCCAAATTTTCTTCTTCTGGTCTCTCCGCTCTTGCATGGTTGGGATTCAGCTTAGCCTCTGCTGACCTCTAGCTGTCACAATGGCTTGGCATTGAGCATGGCTCCCTCAAATTTTATTTATTTTATTTATTTATTAAAACATTTTTATGCCGCCCCATTCGCCGAAGCCTCGGGGCGGCTTACAACAATAAATAAAACCACATAAGTTAAAATATACATATAAAATAGTCATAATAATTTAAAACACACACTATAAAATAAGCCGCCCTGGCCAGATAAAATTCAGTAGAGTTAACATTTAAAATGTTGCTTAAATAAAAAGGTCTTTGCCTGGCGCCGAAAAACAAATAACGATGGCGCCAGGCGGACCTCTCTGGGGAGCGCATTCCATAACTTAGGCGCCACCACTGAGAAAGCCCTCCTCCGAGTAGCCACCCTCCTAATTTCTTTCATGGAGGGCTCCCGGAGAAGGGCCTCTCCCGCCGATCTTAGGGGGCGACTGAGATTTTTTTGCACATTTGTCCTCCATGAAGTATTCCAAAAGGTAGGAATGTCTCTTAGGGCTTGGTTAGCGACAGTACCTGAGCTTTAAACTAAAACCACTGCGTGTTTTGGCTCACTCTTTGGCCATTGGACAGAGTTCTCCTCTGTTTTTATGTCTTTCTGCTCCTCTCTGTCTCCCCCCTGCAGAATCCCTTTCACCTGTTCATGGACCGGAGCAATGATTTTGAGACCATTTTGGAGCTGCTGGCCCAAATCTTCTACTCCAACAAATGGAATGACGTCACCCTGATTGTGTGCCGGGCTTGGGATGTCCCTGGCTTTGTGGACCTCTGGACAAGCCACATGGACCTCGAGAGGATGGTCGTGGTGGACGTGAGTTACCTGGACGAGCCGGAAGCGGCTCGCCACCTCCGGCGTCACTTGGAAGAATACCGAGAGCTGCCTGGCCCAGCTTTGCTTTTTGGCTGCAACACACACCTCTCCCAGTTGGTCTTCCGGACAGCCAGAGAGCTGGGGGTGACCCAGGAGTTCCACTGGGTGTTGGGGGAGCCCCAAAACGTGGGTGAGTTGCAGACAGAAGGGTTGCCTCTGGGTCTCTTAGCCTACGGAGAGGTCAACCGGCCCTCGCTGGAGCACTTTATCCAAGACGCCGTGGAGCTGGTGTCCCGCGCCATTTCCAGCGCTGTGCGCCTTCGGCCTGAGCTTGCACTCATCCAGAGCATGGTGAACTGCAATGACAAGCATGCGATTGGCTCCAGGTCTTCCGGGCAGTTCCTCTCCCAGTGAGTAGCTGTTGCCACAGCAGTCCCTGGGCTTTGGAGAGCTGTGGCATGCACCCATTCAAAGCATCTAATTTTAGAATGTGCGGGAATAGTTATTGCCCGTATCTTTGTCAGGGCTCTGCAGGGACTCATGCAGAGTTGCAACAGAGAGGCAAGGGAATTCTGCCCTGTCTCTGTGACATGAGAGATCAGGTGCCTGCCATACAGGAAAGTCGCAGGTCCTCGGTGGGTATCTCTGCACTGCATGAAACTAAGCGATCCAGCTGGCACAGAGCTATGGCAGAGTTGGTTGGAATGAGTTGGCTCAGAGCAGTGAGTCATGCAGAGATGCAGCGAGCAGACTCTTCTGAAAACTGGGGGCTGGGAAGTGAAAATTCTGGAGAGTTCATGGGAATGCATCCATAAATATGCATTTTGTTGTTCCTGAAACTCCTGCCTGTTAGTCAGCATCGGTGACCCCAGAAACTTGTTGTTTGAGAGAGGAAGAAAAGTGTTGCACCTTCTGAAGCTAATCGGGGACCTGCTAGATTAGAAACCATCCAAACCGAGGGTGTCAAACCTCTTGGAGAGCAAGAGCTGCATGCCATTATGCAGAAGCTCCTGGGGGCTACATTCCAGCAGCTGTAATTTTAACTTCAACCTGTCACTCTTCAAAACAGCCTTCAGGGAGTCATTCCAGACTTTTAAGGCGGGGAGAGGGCAAAAGCTGGGAAAGAACAAAATGATTGGTGTGGAGAAGGGGTCTGGCCGTATGTGGAAGCCACAAAAAATGGACTGGGGCCCTGGCCCCATGCTCTCCCACCCACCAACTCATTTCTGTGAGATCTCAGATGTGCACAGGAAGGATGCCTCAACTCTCCTCTTGTTCCTCTGGTTTATATCTGCCGAATCGCCACACCTTGTGGCAAGGGGTCCTCTGAACACACAGCAAGCTGAAGCACAAATAATTCGGCAGTGCAAGCACTCGCTTCCCTCCCTCTCTCTGATTTTGCAGGTTTTTAGCCAACGTGTCCTTCCAGGGCCAGACGGGCAAGGTCTGTGTGCGAAACACATCCCTCATCCAGACGGAGAGGCATTACAAGGTCTGGAGCCTGCTGCGGGACTCAGTGGGTCAGCCCACATGGGTGACCGTGGGCAGCTGGAGAGGCGGCAACATGGAAGTAGAGGAGGGAGCGTGGCCGCAGCCGCTGCAGCGCAAGAATCGGGCTGAGAGCGGCGGCGGCACCCGCATGAAGCTGCGGGTGGTGACGCTGGTGGAACATCCTTTCGTGTTCACACGAGAGGTGCGTGTGGCAGTGGGGTCGGGCATGCACCGCAAGTGTGCTTGAAAGGAATATATGTTATATGCCTCTGTAGGATTTCTCAGGGGGCTGCATTCTGGTGTTGGGTGGGAGAAAAGGTGGAGGTCAAATATGCCAAAATACAGGCTTGCAACCCTTCCCGTAGCTGTCGGATTTTATCAAACTTTTGGGCTGGGCAAACACACACACACAAACACACAAGAGAGCCAGTGTGGTGTCGTGGGTAAGAGCGTGGGACTGGGACTCAGGCGATCTGGGTTCAAGTCCCCGCTCGGCCATGGAACCCACTGGGTGACTTTGGGCCAGTTACAGACTCCCAGCCCAGCCTACCTCACAGGGTTGTTGCTGTGGGGAGAAGATGGAGGAGGAGAATGATGTAATTTGCCTTGCGCCCTTCACAGGAAAAAGGCAGGATAGAAATCGATAGATAAATAAATAAATAAAAATAAGGTTGGGAAACGCCAAATGATTGGCTGTCTGGGGGAAAGGGGTGGGGCCAGGAAAAGGGGTGGGGCCTTCTGCTGAACCCCAAAAGTCCAGATGGGAACCTCAGGAGAGCTACGGTTGGTTGGTCCGCAGGTATGAGATTCAGCACCCCGTATAATCTCAGCTTGCTTTCTCCTCTCCAGTATTTCTATGCAGCCTTGCAGCAGAAAATGCTCTGAAGTCAGTCCATTGATGAAAATTCTATAATCTATATTTTAAATAAAACAGTGAAATAATTGCAAAACAGTTTTAAACATGACTTCCAAGAGAAGCAGCAGGTTGCAACTTTGTCTTTCTTGTACACGGTTCCCTCGTTTATCTACCAGTCCTCACAGAGTTTACTCGTTTTAGAAACAGCACCCAAAAGGACCCTGCCCTGGGATCCATAAGGACAAAGGTCAGGTTTTCAGCTCTTTTGGGTAACCATCTCATGGTCCTCTGGCATTGTTTGAGGGCTTTCTCTTAATATTTATTTAAAGTTTTTATAAGCTATTCTTTATGGTTTAGGGAACCGAACTGCTGGCTTTCTGAGATCAGTGAAATGACCTTGGTGGGGGGTGTTTTGGAGGAAGTGCAGAGATCAAAGATTTATTCTGCAGCTACCCTGGCTTCATTTCCTCTCTCTCTGAGCCTCCCCATCTTGACAGGGAAAAAGACCGCGCTAGCAAAATGGGGAAGCAGTGCAAATGGGAAGGTGGAGATCCCCTCCTGCTCTGCTCGGCATACCTTTAAGCCCCCAAGTCCAGGGGCTCACGGACACCCTGATAAGCTTGCACCGTTCATAGAAAATGCCAAGTTTCTAGCCCCTATGCCACTGGTGGGCTTTAAACTGTGTTCCAGGGAAGCTGGGATTCCTGGGTTTCTCTGTGGTGGTTTCTTGGAGCTCTGTTCTGCTCTTCTGGACGCAAACCGCACTCAAAGTGTATACAAAGCAATCTGAGAAGGTAAACCAGGGGAGCACAGGACCTCTGAGCTCCCCACAGCCCCTGAGCTCGGATGCTTACTGTCATCCTTTCCAGCGCAGAAGGAATGGCAGGGGCATTTTAAGAAATCCATATTTCACTTAGATGGACGCTGGGGCCTTCCGGTGGGAGCATTTCGAAATTTGCAAAAGCCTCTTTGGTCTCCTGTCCCCGCAGCCCCGTGAAGTGGTCTGTCTCCCAGGAGAGCCATGGAAAGCTCCTGTGCACCTGTGACCCCCACAGATGGGTGCCTGCTTCTGCCCCTCTCCGAAGTCGCTCTCCCGACCTCAGGGACCAGCCGGTGTGTCGCTTGCCTTGCAGGCTGCGAGGGGGACAGGGGAGCTTCAGGCCCCAGCTCCAAAAGCCGGGGGCCATTCCCAGCCTTGGATGTAGGAATTCCCTATCTTCTCTGGGCATAGAAACAAAGAAACAGAGCGAGTCAGAAGGGTCCTCCTGGGCCATCTAGTCTGACCCCAGCTCCATCCCTCTCCACTCAGAGAAACACAGAAACAGAGCGAGTCAGAAGGGGCCTCCTGGGCCATCTAGTCTGACCCCAGCTCCATCCCTCTCCACTCAGAGAAACAAAGAAACAGAGCAAGTCAGAAGGGGTCTCCTGGGCCATCTAGTCTGACCCCAGCTCCAGCCCTCTCCGCTTGGAGAAACATAGAAACAGAGCGAGTCAGAAGGGGTCTCCCGGGCCATCTAGTCTGACCCCAGCTCCATCCCTCTCCACTCAGAGAAACAAAGAAACAGAGTGAGTCAGAAGGGTCTCCCGGGCCATCTAGTCTGACCCCCAGCTCCAGCCGGCCCCACTCATGACGTGCCCGCCATGTGCATGTCCAGCCTGTCTTTGAACACCCGCACTGATGGGGCCTCAGCCACCTCGCAGGGAAGCCCATTCCACACCCGAATGGGCTTTGGACCATGCAATGCTGCATAATAGACACAGGATTGTTCTCTTTCTGTACTAGATTTATATCCCACCTTTCTCCGTACAAGGAACCCAGAGCGTCTTACATCATTCTTTCCCTGCTCTCCATTTTATCCCTGAGTCCCTTAAAACTTTATTCTTTTTGGCACCAGGCCAAAACCTTTTAATTTCCCCAGTGTTTTAAGACCTGAATGTTTTAATTGGGGTTTTACTACTGGTTAAATTTTAGGTCACCATATTTTAATTTAAAAAAATAAAGTAAAATCTTTTTAAAATAACTTAAAAATAATGCAATTGTTTAAATACAACAACTTTGTATTGTATTTAAACAATACAAATTTAAAATGTATTGTTAAACTGTCCTGAGACTTTGGTAATGTTTTAAATAATACATAAATAAAACAGCCCAGTGTTTAAGCAGTTTCTCAAAAGGTTTCCTTGCAGAGGAGGGGTAAGACTCTTTCCGCCCAGGGGCACGTGGAGATGCTGGTGGGAGACCTGGAGGTCTGGCACGCGTGCCCCGGACTGACGTGTGAAGGGAGGTGGGTGCAGGGGTACTTCTGGGGTGAAGGGAGGGGAACGCAAGCCATGCATGCAGCCACAGGCTGTGCCCTCCAGCTCCCGTCCGCTTCTTTTCTGTTCCTCCCCCTCCTTGCACCAAAAATCTAGTCCTCTGTGTTCTGGGCAGGTGGATGAAGAAGGCAACTGCCCAGCGGGGCAGCTGTGCCTGGACCCCCGCACCAACAACTCAGCCGTGCTGGACGCCCTCTTTGAGGAGCTGAACTCCGAGAACGGCTCGGTGCCTCTCAAGTACCGGAAGTGCTGCTACGGCTACTGCATCGACCTTCTGGAGAAGCTGGCCGAGGACTTGTCCTTCGACTTCGACCTCTACATCGTCGGGGACGGGAAGTACGGCGCCTGGAAGAACGGCCGCTGGACCGGGCTGGTGGGCGACCTGCTGAGCGGCACGGCCCACATGGCGGTGACGTCCTTCAGCATCAACTCGGCCCGCAGCCAAGTCATCGACTTCACCAGCCCCTTCTTCTCCACCAGCCTGGGCATCCTGGTGCGGGTCCGCGACACGGCCTCGCCGATCGGGGCCTTCATGTGGCCCCTCCACTGGACCATGTGGGTCGGCATCTTCGTGGCCCTCCACCTGATGGCCCTTTTCCTCACCCTGTATGAGTGGAAGAGCCCTTACGGGATGACGCCGCATGGGCGCAACCGCATGAAGATCTTCTCGTACTCCTCGGCCCTCAACCTGTGCTACGCCATCCTCTTCGGGCGCACCGTCTCCAGCAAGACGCCGAAATGCTGGACCGGGCGGTTCCTCATGAACCTCTGGGCCATCTTCTGCCTCCTGGTCCTCTCCAGCTACACGGCCAACCTGGCCGCCGTGATGGTGGGGGAGAAGACCTTCGAGGAGCTCTCGGGCATTCACGACCCCAAGGTTGGGGCGGCACCGCGCGGTTCCGCAGTTGCTTCGCCTCTCCCCTTTCTATTCCGTAACTTTTCAGCTCTGCTGCCTTCTCCCGTTTCCTTCATCTCCTGGTGGCCCTGTCTGTAGTGCTTCTGGCATCTTTGGGCTGACCTCTTTAGTAGCCCAGGAAGAAAATGATGTCTCTCTTGACAATGCCCCCCCTCAACACCCCTTTTCATGACACAGGAGGAAACTGGGGGACAGGATAGACTTGTGATGGGGGGTGCAAGCTCAGTCCCCCCCCCCCCCCGTTCTTCAGGAATCTCAGTCTGAATGGGACCCAAACAAACCCCAATAAGACCACCCCCTAAAACTCCCACTTTTCTTCCCTTTCCCCTGTGGCATCCCAGAAATTTCTGCTGCTTTTTTCTTCACCTTTTCCAAATCTGCAGTGTCCACTTCTCCCTCTTAAAATCTGTTAGGCAGACCTTTCATTTGCCTTCACGTATCACAGTGAGTGTGTTTGAATCTTCCGCCACTGACCCTTCCTCCCCTGGGCATTTGCAGGCATTCTGTGACATCAGGGGTGCTCATGCCTCCTTCTCATCTGTTTGTCTCCATCTCCCTGACTTGTGCTGTAATTGTTTCAAAGGGACAAATGCTTTGCCCTGCCCTGCCCTGCCCTGCCCTGCCCTGGCCCTGCCCTCCCTCCCTTTCCTTTCCTTTCCTTTCCTTTCCTTTCCTTTCCTTTCCTTTCC